AGCTTATTGAGATTTAAATCTCCCATAATAATAAAGAACTGTCTCTGAAGGGATATCCAGGAAACGATTTCATATAATTCCCTTCCCAGAGTTTCATAATAGTTCTTCCCATTCCCTTTAGGAGATCTATAGATGCTCATAACGATAACATCTTTACTGCCAAATTTTGATTGGATTAGTAGAACCTCAATGGTCTTGAACACCTTTGGTTGCTTTAAACGTTTTGATGGAAGTACAGATGAAAAATATGCCATCAGACCTCCTCCACCCTGGACACGGTCATTTCTGTATAAATGATAGTTGTTCATAGCAAACTGACTATTTGGACTGGATACGTTCCATCTATTTTAGTCTCCCCCAAGAGGACCACCTGTGCCTTGAATTACTCAACCAGCATCCTGATCTCCTCGATTTTGTTTTGAAGGCTGTTGACATTTAAATGCATCACCAGAATTTCTCTAGAGTCTTTCTTTCTCTGTTGCACAACTACTGGTTCTGCATGTTTCCATGCTAGTGGACTTGCATGAAGGCTATGGCACATTGAGTCCGTAGTGTCAGTATCAAAATTAACATGAGGGTTACTACCTGTGAGCGAAATAGAGCTTGGATCCCATGAAAGTGCAGCAAAGAGGAAAATTACACAAATCCATGATCTATTCAAGCTGGATTCATACCGATGGTAGTCCTTCAGTGTTAGGGCGGCGCACTTGAAGTGATAAAGAAGTTGACACCTATGGCATCTTACAGCTCTATGATTTCTAGCAACTGTTTCCTCGCATGTCTTACATTTCGGCCTAGCAATGATTCTGGTACCAGTAACAGGGCCTGGATTTGGACAGACATCTCCACTCAGGGCTAACCTAGTTAACTGGAAACTGGTCACAGTTTTCGGTGATGATTCAGCCTTGAACTCAAATAGACTTTTCTCGTGCCTTTGTATCTAAGATGACGGCTACGACTGCCACATGTTGAGAGATGATATTCGGTGCAGTTTGGTCTGCAAATGGCGGGGATTGACGTTCTAATAGCTCGCTCAAAATTAAGATTGCATTTAAGGTCATAAAAAAACATAGACTGATAAGAAACGGCTGAAAACAGCAGAAAAGTTACGATACTCAAAAGCTTACGTCCGACCGCTATAACGACCGCTGACCGTAATAAGCCAACAGTAATAAGCCAACAGTAATCAACTTATGCTATAGTGAGACCCACAAGGAGAGGATCATCGAACATGATTACTTGTTGTTGCAGTCTACGAGCAACTGTAGAACTCAAGTGATCCTACCCACCAACAAGCAAACAATTAACAAACAGTAACTTACTCTAAAATTAATGGAAAAGTATGCTCTAAAAAATATAAACCAGGGCTCGACACTAACTCTTCAACTCATTAGCCAAGTGGATAGTGGTATCTTAGAA